CAACTTTTCCCGAAGTGGTAGAGCATATATGGCGAATATGAAGATGATTTTCGATAAGCATTTCTATTATTGAAAGGGAGAAGAATGTTTCCATGAAAAATAATAACGAAACACCAATCTGATCGGAAAAAGAAGGCGCAAAAAATCAACAGTAATTGTGCATCAACCCAGTAGTTTTGTTGAAAGAGCGAAGGGCTTTTGTTTTCGCACCAATCCCTCCTATACGTCCTATTATCGTCCCGCACCACTTCTTATCTGTGTACATCTGTCGTTTACTGGGAAAGTTTTGATTTGAAGTGGCCCAATATAATTAGACATACCTTGGGGTGCGCTTCTGGAACTCGAATGTGCTTCCTCAATCTGCCAACTGTTTCCTAGAAGTTTTTCTCTCATGTGTTTTGACACATGGGTCAGTGGCAGCATGTAAGCAGACCAACCGGCTAGCCTTGTATTCCTGACCGCCCGACGGCGGGAGCGACCGTTTTTCAGAGTAGACGTAGGTGGTACGGATCCGCTTGCACGTTGTTTTTTTTTGCGAGTCGTCATTTTGGACAGCAGTTTATCATGCTTCCCTCATGAACAGTCGACCATAGATTTTCTGTGGAGATTGTAATTATTTTCTTAGAGCCCTTGGAATATGTCTTTTCACCATTTGCCCATGGTTTTCTTTGTTAGGCTAAGTTTCGATGTTGCTGGAAATTTGTCCGCACATATAGCTGGCCTACTAGACGCGGAATTGGCATGGAAGCAGCGCGAAAACTTGACGTGTGACTGAGGGAGGATCAAAAGGATGTATCTCTGACCTCGCTTAAAAATTCTACCTTGTTCACTATGATCGAACGAATGGCAGTATTATTTTTGCATAAAAACGTCGCATTCCGATTTTGTTCTGGTAGCTTTTTGGCCGAGTGTATTTTTCGTGTTTAAAGGAAGCGATTACGATAGATCTCAAAGGGGTTTAGAGGGGACGTGGAGGGTCTCAATAGTACGCCAATGGCGAAAAAAGCAAAGAAATCCGTCAAAAATAAGCAAAATAGTACCCCTTTGATTGCCCTTTCATTTTCGACCATGGATGAGCGACGGTAAAGAACGACGTTGTTCGGACGTGTTAACCCCGATAGCCGCCATCATGCCAACAAGCATAGTGTTTTGATTGATAAGGCAATACGTGGGCAAGTTGGAAGATACAGCCGCTAGAAGGGAAATGATCATCCAAAATGAAAAGCCAACAGCAAACAGTCCATCCAGATCATCAACAAAACTAGTGGGCGTCACGTCACTGGGGGCGGGCGTCACACGGGTCCTGCTCAGCAACCACAGCACCTTTCGCCGTGGGAGGGCCACACATCGCTTCCTTGGCAGCCAAGTAATTGCTCCGTGTGGCGCAGGTTCTCCCCCGATGCGAAAATTCCTTATCGTAATCGCTTCCTTTAAGTGTCATTCACTCAGGACGAATTTCTAGCCAGTTCGAAAGATCCTAACATCGAGTAAAGGAAGTGGCCATGAAAAAGAAAGTGGAAAGAGAAGTATCCTGGACTCATCAAAAAGATGGCTCTGGTTGAGCAATGATAAAAGAATCATTATTAACCCCAAGTGACGCTCCCCAAAACAAAGAAAACGCGCAAGCGGATCAGCACCCCGATCCTTAAAAGCCATGTAGGGTCACTATAGTCAGTCACTCATCGGTCGCCATGGGGCATTAACTGCTCAGCCGGCTCGGCTTAAGGAGCTGTCAAACTTTGCGACCAGTCCCTAGCGAACTGTCGCTATTACCAATGGCTTCTGTGTTGAAGTACGTGTGGAAAATTTTTTCTTAACTTTGTTCAAAATCGACAGTCATTTGAAAGATAGATTTGTGATTAGCGTCGGAACGCAAATATCAAGGGATATGTTTTATTACATACGGCCGCTTCAAATTGGAATTTTTTCCTAGTTGAATGCTTTTTTTACCAAAGTACATCGGAACATTACTTTGTATAGTGGATTTTAAATGTGACAATGGCATATTTGAGGGGCCGTGATATGATATGTACAACACCCAGATAGACAGCTTTTCCAAACAGCGGTGATAGTCACGAAATTGATCTTGACTTTAGGGAATTATCCATTTTCTTCCGTCCAAAAAAGAATTTGTTCAAAAGTGCGCTGATCGGTGTGCTAGTTTATATTTTCAGTGAGGGCGCATGGGTTCGACTAGCGGTTTGATCGTCGCCGGGATTGCCGGTGCGACAGCCATTGGCATCTCGTTTGCGGCGATTCCGTTTCTCACCCCTGCGCTGCGACGCGTCTGCATACCCTACGTACCCGCTACCCCGCCACAACTCAAAAACGTGTCTCGCGCTCTTGCCGAACACATTCCGAAGCCAAGCCCACTCATTGATCTAGGATCTGGAGATGGACGTGTTGTGAGTTCGATTATACTTTTAGTTTCACTTCTTTCAGATGAAATTTGGCGAACAATTGGCGAGTCATTTGACTCCGGAATGGCGGAAGCAATACATCGACTACGAGGCGCTCAAGAATCTTCTCTACGACAACATGTTGGAAGTGCCTTCTGAGGAAGACCGCAGAGAGGAGCACATTGCACAAATGGACGAAAAGTTTTTCAATGAGTGTGACAATGAGCTGACTAAAATCAATCTGTTTTTCTCACAAAAGATAGCAGAGGCCCAGGGCAAGTATCATGAGTTGCAAACTGATCTGCAAATGTTCAAGGAGGCTATTCAGACGCGGACCGAGCCCACTACCCTGAGGAGAAGGTTTGGAGCACGGGATAAACTTCATAAGGAAACAGCGAAAACTAGCCAGCAGCTGAAACTTGCCTTCTCAGAGTTTTATCTTAGTCTAGTTCTTGTACAGAATTTCCAACAACTGAATGGAACCGGTTTTCGAAAAATTCTGAAGAAGCATGACAAGCTGACCGGGAATGAGCGTGGGTTGGACTGGCGGATAAACAAGGTCGAGAAGAGTTCCTTTTTCCTCAATCGTGAAATTGAGACACTAATCAACAATGTCGAGACTTCTGTAATCAACGAGCTTGAAGGCGGCAATCGTCAAGCAGGAATGAAACGACTCAAGGTCCCTCCGCTCTCTGAGAAGCAAAAACCGATCACAACCTTTTCGCTTGGGCTTTTTATGGGTGCCAGCATGATTCTTATTCTTTCAATTGTTCTCTCATGGTGGGGAGCAACAACACGGCCTAATGAACCTCAATGGGTGGCAGTGCGTCTTTTCCGTGGACCATTCCTGTTGTTTCTTTCGGTCTTCATGTGTGGAGTGAACATGGCTGGCTGGGCTGGTGCTGGTGTAAACCATGTGCTGATCTTCGAAGTGGATCCTCGACACCATCTTTCGTACCAGACACTTATGCAAATCGCAGCCTTCATGATCATGTTGTGGGCAAGCGCCGTGCTCGCCTACCTTTACGCTCATCTCCTGCACATACCAGCATTCTCACCTCCGTTGGCGCTTATGATCGTCTGTGCTGTGGTTATGTTCAACCCACTTTCAAAGCCGGATTACCTGTTTCACAAGAAGTCCAGATGGTGGCTCATTCAACATTGTTTCAAGTGCTTCACAGCTCCACTGCATTTCGTCACATTCACGGATTTCTGGCTCGGTGATCAGATGAATTCGTTGACGACATCATTTCTCGACTTCCAGTACTTTCTATGTTTTTATTCCACGGAAGTAGACTACTCACTGGATAATTTCCTTGCCGTTCGGACGATCAATTCGACAACAGGAGCTGTGCCTTGGGGCTACGTTGATATCACCACCGGCAAAGACATGTGCATGTCGGCATCAGGAGTGCGGTCGTTTGTTTCGATTATACCTGCCACTGTGCGATTTATGCAGTGTTTGAGACGATATCGAGACACAAAGCGAGTCCATCCTCATCTTGTCAATGCGGGAAAGTACTCTACTACGTATTTGGTGGTCGCCTGCGGCGCCCTCAACAAGTGGGCCGAGAAATCCGATCCTAACGGAACGTCACCGTTTTTCTACATTTGGATTGCGTCTTACATACTCTCCTTCACCTACACCTTCTTATGGGACATCTTCATGGATTGGGGCTTGATCGATCCACGAGCTCCAAAGGAGGCGCCGTTCCTACGTGAAGAGATGATTTACGGGAGCAAATACTACTACTATGCTGCAATTGTTCAAGATTTTGTTTTGCGTCTTTCTTGGGTTCTCAACGTTTCTCTTGGCGAAGCATGGACTCTCGATTCGGATTTCCTAACAACGGTTACTGCTCCAGCTGAGGTGTTCAGGCGTTTCGTTTGGAACTACTTTCGACTAGAAAATGAGCATGTGAACAACTGCGGTCAGTTCCGAGCAGTGCGTGATATCTCTGTGAAGCCGATACGGAAAGGAGATCTGGAATCACTTTTGTCGAAAATGGACCAGTGTGATGGAGTAACGCACAGAGGGCAAGATCTGGCTGAGAGGAAGAAAAAGCAAAAGAAAGCGCAGAAAACGACGAGAGTTCTGCTACGGAAAGCACGTCAACATCGTGTGACTGTTCCTTTCACTACTACACCCATCACTACCCACCTCGTCGAAACTCAGCAATAGTTTTTTGGTTCCCTAGTTCATCTTGCCAGAGAGTGTCATCACTAATCTTAGAAGTATATCCCACGTTTCACGAGTTTTATTTCTTTCTCACCTCCTCACTGCTTTATGGTCTTATTTTCTTTAAGTACGTGCTGTCGGAAGAGCTAACTCATCTGTTCACTTGCGTCGATCGATATCTCATGCAGTAATCATTCCAATAGTGCACATTTCATTGTTGTTGTTGATTGTTGCTCAATATTTGTTTAGAATTGAGTCGAATACGGCTAGTCAAACATGGAGTTTTAATGTATATTATATTATTTATGATCAAATGTGAATCTGGTTCGATTCCTGGTTCGCCTCACGTTGTGGATCTTGAGAATATTGTAATTAAATGCGACTAATATGAAAAGTTCATCAATAAGCTTCCATCAGTTTTCGTCGAATGGTCTCTCACCATCGGTCCATACTTATTTGCATTCAGTTCATTAGCAATTCATGAAACGGCCTGTTAATCCTAGGTCTGAAACTGAGCGTATGTGGGGCGGAAGTCATATTGAGAACAAATCGACAAAGGAGTCGTAAGGAGTGAGGGGCCTGGATTGTAAGTTGTAGTTTTCAGACTTTTGTTTTGCCAGTACTAAGGAATGCCGCTATCTCCATTCCGTAGAATTTGCGACCAAGTTTTTGCGCCTTTCATTGAGTTAGAACAACATTTGCTGGTTTTGGTCTTTTTGTATACTTTACTATTACTGAACGAAATCATAGCAAGTGGTTATAGTAAGCACATGAACAGTTTGTAACTTTCGGACAGACTGTTGAGCTGTAATTCGGTCGCTCGTATCCTTTGGGGCTTTATATCATTTGAGCCTAAGAAAAGTTCGTGGTTGAGTCAGATTTAAAGCAAAAGTAGACAAGTTGTTTACCAAATTATTCGTCAGAAGAAGCTGAGAACTTTGCAAAAAGTATGTCAAAATAGCGGGATTGCCGAAAATTTTGGGTAAACTCAATGCATTTCCGTCGGCGTTGATGTTGTTGGTTTTGAAATATTTCAGTGTGGCAACATTTTTATGAAGAAACTGTCACAGAGATTAGAAGGGCTACTTCACTTGGGTTTGAGGATAATGTTCCGAATAGGACACATGAGGGTGCCTCAAAAGTTTGTGCCATTTTCA